CGCAGGCTGCCCTACCAGATCACCCGCTTCTGAGCCCAGGGTGGGAGAGAGGGGGAGGCTGGGGGCTGCCCAGTGGGGCTGCCCACCCCCCTCTGCTCTGTGCCCCCCGCAGTGGCTCTGCCCCTGCTCAGACCCACTGCGGGCAGGGGCTGGTGCTGGGGCATCCCAGGTGCTTCCCACTGAGCCAAACTGGTGCCAAAGGGCTCCCCACAGCCCTCTGGGTGCTTGGTGCTGCTGCCCCTGCCTCAAGCAAAGGAGCTTGCCCTGCCATGGGCAGCCCCAGCTGGCAGTGCCCTGCCTGCCGTGCATCGGGGAGCAGCAGGACCAGCAAAGCCCCAGCTAGAGCTCAGGAGGGGGACACAATTATCCCCATGCCCATGGGCACTGCCAGCCCTTGCTGCACACCCTCCCTGGGGCATCTCACTCTTGGTGCTTCCCAGGGTGCCTGGCAGAGCCCTGGTACTGCTTCATCTGCATGATAGTGCCATGCATTTGTCCCAGCCTTGCCCCACGCACTGCCAGTTGCTGCTCCCTAGACCTAGCAGCAGCGTCCTTGCCAGCAGCATCCTTCAGCACTGCCCACAACACTGGGCACTTGCCTCTGCTCCCTGGCTGATCTGGTGCCATCCCTAGCTAGACCCAAAAAGCCCAGGGCAGGGGTTACAGTGCTGGGCAGGCTCCTGCCCTTGTGCCACATGCCCTGGGCTCATGCATGGCCCAGCATCGTGGAGGATGAGCTCTGGCATGGGTGAGGCAGGGTAAGCTGCCGCCGGCCCCCTGCCTGCCCTGCTGCAATGCAGGGAGGGTGCTTGCTGGGGCAGCTCCACCAGGACCCTTCCTCTCCTGCTGCTGAGCCCTTCCCTGCCCACATGTCCTGCATGCGTCTGCCACCAGCACCCTGATTCTCAGCCTGGCCTGTGGTGGAGACCCCGAGGGGCACCTGGGCCCAGCTGCAAGGTATAGGGTTCATGGGCCAGGGTCAGATGGGGGGGAATAGGAGGGGCCCTGTGACATCCAGCACCCCAAGGAGAAGAGCCCCTGTTGGGTGCAAGGCTGAATCAAGCTATCATTGCTCTCCTGGGGTCCTGGAGGGAGGACCCTGCCCTGTAGGACTCCCTTTGACTCCCACCATGGCATGTGTGAGGGGTGGTCCTGGCCTCATCATTCATGCTGGGGCCCCCCTGCATGGAGATCTTTCTCAATAAACCCCGTGCTTTGTCCCCTGCTGCCTGCCCTGTGTCCTCCTGTGTTGGAGGGGGGAGTGGGATGATGCTGGGGGGCACAGAGCCAGGCTGGGGCTGGGCATCCCCCAGCACATTGAGGTGCATGGAACCCCACAAGGCAGGTGAGCGCGGGGGAAATAAGGAGGAGGGATGGGGTTCGGACCCATATAGCAGCCATGTGGGCCCGATGACAGGGAGCCACAGGGAAAACCGTGCAGGAAAGGGTTTATTCATTTGGCACTGGGCACAACCAGCACAGGGCTGGGGGCAAGCAGGGGGCACCCAGCTCTGCTGGGGCAGGCTAGTTGTGCTGGCAGCGCCCA